AAATATTTATTTCGAATTTCCTCTGTCATTTTATTCTTAGGAATAAATTAGGTTTTACAATTTTATAAAATACATTCTGGATTCTTTTCCTATTTAATATATTCAGAAAATAATGAGATAATACATGGAAACATTTCAAGATATGCACAATTAGATGACAAGAAAAAGGTGTGGGGTCATCATCCTTGATTTTGCTTGAAGGTCATTTGAAAAGTTGATGCTAAAAATAGATTTTTTCCTCCTGTGGAATTAAGAAAATCCAATATGGTGTTTTAAAATTGATGTTTTGGAAAAATGGAGATGAATAGATATGAAAAAACAATTTAAGTCTTAAGTTTTATGTTAAAGCAATGTACTAAAGTAAAAAAAAATAACAAACTTTTGATCACAAATCACACAAAATATTTATTCTGAATTTCCTCTGTACTCTTTATAAAATGATATTTTAGTCTTTGACAATCGTTCATTTTCGTTTAACTTTTTTAATAAAATCATATATTCAGAAAAAAATTATTTTTACATCCATAGGAAAGATAGATGTTGAATGAATCATTTAAAGCACAAAAATGAAGGGGTATTCATATTCATTAAATTGCCAGATTAGCTTGAATTTCCTCATTTTAAAAAATATCATTGAACAAAGAAAATCCTGTCAATATATATCATATAGGCTAATAATTTAAGAGACAGGACGGGCGGTTAGATAAATACATTTTCTCTGAAATGTGATATGATGTATTATTGTGGAAATAATTGTTGAAATTATTGCCATGTTTCAAAAAAACCAAAAAATTTCAATCCAAATTTCCTCTGTTATAAAATATACTGGTTTCATTATTTACAAATAAGTAAAGGTTTTCAATCGAAATACATGTATATTTTTGCGGAGTTAAGTCAAAACTTTATGTTATATTATGGAATCTTAATTAATAGATGTATTGTACATGAACAAATATATCACATGCATGTATATATACCAGAGAAGTATAATTATGTATATAAATATTTATCAGTGCCAACACAATTACAATAATTGTTAAAGGCGCAACATACTGGTATAAGAATCAGCAATTATTCATAAATATTTATACAATACACTGTTTCTAGATTTTGAGGCTATACATAAATCATACAACAATATAATTTACACAATAATACACAATAATTATGTTAACAATGATTAACAATGATTAACAATGATTTCTAAATATACGATATTTCTTAAAATAAATAAGTGTTATTTTCAGTATTTCTAGACATGACTATCAAAGGTATATGAGACAAATTTGATACTTTTCCTTTCACGAAAAAAATACACCAACTTCCTTTCAAAAGTTATCTTATTAGGGCCCCGCAAGGATTTGCGGGTGCCCTATAGTAATCACTCTGTCTTTTTGGTAGCTGTCCACAAATTTCCTGAAAATAATAACTTTTTTTATGGTTGCCCAATTAAGATCAAATTTGGTATGGTAGTCAATAGGCAGAAAGATAATTGTGATGCTAAAATCTATGTCCCTTGGTTTGGAGCTGGAGTGGTGGGGTATATTCCTTAACTTTATATAAGAATGCTTTGGCAAAGAGAGATAACTGCTGAAGATGTTTCCATTGTAAACTGAATGCTGCTATGAGTCCCTTGGGATTAATTAGCTTTCCTCCTGAAGAAAATCCAAAGCATTATCTTTATCTGTCACATTGAGATTAATTACCACCTCTGTCTGCAAATGAAGTTTGTTTTGAAGTTCAGTCAATTTGGAATGCTATGAACACTCTGAAATGTGGATTTAGATATAAATGTTTATACTTTATTTTGGTTAAAATACCTACACAATGAGTTATGATTTCATTCAATTCTAAAAACAAGAAATAGATTAAAGAAGACATATCTTTTATTTTTACTTTTTTCCCTTTATGTAAATTCAAGAATAATATTAATTTTTAAGTTGGATTAAGCCATTCTAATATTAATACTGAAAAAGTTCTTATTGTAACTTTAGGAGAAAATGATGAGAGAGGTACAATTAATCCCTTGGGATTAAATGCTAACCTGCTGAAGAAAATTTAGTAGGCCTATCTTTATCTGTTATTTTAAGATTAATGAAAAACTTTGTCTGCAACTGCTGTTTGTTTTTAAGTTAAGGTCAAGCCTTCATGATTCATGTATTTGCATTCATTGAAGACTGGCATTTTATATAACACAAACACAAACTTCATTATTGTTTATATATACATTCAATGTTAGGTTGTTCTTTACTGCCAGTGCCTAATGTAAATATACAAGGAAATTATTTTTTTTGGATATTCAGGAATTATGTTGAAAATTTTAAGAATACAGTTGCTGTTGCTTATTTCTTCATATATTTTTTAATCATTCCATAAGCTGCATCCTTATAATTCCACCCCATGGCGGGGCCCTTGCTGACTGGTCAGTTTTCTAGTAATTATTGTATTTTTGGTAGCTGAATTGAAAATAAAAACCATTTTAATCTCTCCTGTGTTACAAATTATTTACAAAATCTTTCATTAGGGAGTGTTTATAGGCAAATCTCTCGACCCCCTTTTCTGTGGCAAGGTTATGTGCACTACCCTTACCAAAATAAAAGCCTTCTGGCACATAGTTGCAGCAAGTTTACTGCAAAGTTGCCGCAACCTTGCGGTAAATATTTGCGGCAAACTTGCCGCAAATAGATTTTTCGTATGCAAATTTTTTTCTGGCACACAGTTTGCGGCATATTTGCGGCAAAGTTCTGGCAAATTTGCTGCAAACATTTTAAATCCTTACATTATGCACTTAGCTGCAAGTTTGTGGCACACACTTGTGGCACATTTCTGGCATATAGTTTACTGCAAGTTTGTGGCACACACTTGCGGCAAATTTCTGGCATATAGTTAACACAATTTGTGGCACACACTTGTGGCACATTTCTGGCATACACAATTCCATAAGCTAATATACCTTACCTAAACAAATTAATTTTAAAAGAACATGATTAAACATGACAGCAACATGTAATACATGTACTATAAAAAAAACAAAACATTTAAGCCATTTTAAGAATTATTTATGAAAATTTCAAGGTAAAAAGGTACATGTATATATAACACTAACTATAATATTAATGTTTAAAAAAAAACTTGCACAGTACGATGAACAAAATCTGTTGATTTAACAGTTACACTGTATACATCAGATAGAGAAAGAAACAGATTAAAAAAAATAAATTCACAACCTTTGAGTAATATAATGGCACAAATTTACATTGGTCATTATGCAGAATGAATAGAGGATTTGTAGTTAACAACAATCACAAAACATTTTACATCAAAGAAAAGATTCACCTCTTACAATGAAATTCAACTGCACATATCAAAGTAATAGTGCTGCACGATATGAATAAAAACATATGAAGTATTTTGACAAATTAAATCTCACAATATTATTTACACAGTAAAGGCAACCATTTTGTCCAGTGTCTTGATTCTATCACTTTAAAAAAAACAACAACATAATCCCCTTGAAGAATCCATGTCATGTTGAAAGAGTGTCCTCCTCTGTTACATTTCCCATTAATGGATTGATTGATTGTATATTGTTTAACGAAAATTTTTCACTTATATGGAGATGCCAACATCTGCCGTGGGAGAGCTGAAAATTTTGTCCTATACTACATTAAATGGCACTCAGGGCCATTGAGCAGGGAGAATCTTTTTTGATCATCACCTACTGCAACATGGGACCTCAGTTTATACAGTCTCATCCGAAGGATCCACTGTGAAATTCAACTCCTTACTTTGTGACTCGAGAGCAGACGCTCTAACCATGCGGGCGACACATTTGATAGGAATATTTATTAACTACTTTCTTGGTACTTCAAGTTCACTCTGACATTTCAACTAACTTTTCATGATTGGGGGGGGGGGGCCTTCCTTTCCAAAATTATGCAAGTACCTGTTAAAAAGATAGAGAGAAATTACTCGCATTGCAGTCATTGAAACCAATAGTTATTTAAGCAATGAATTAAACCTAATTTTGACCTAGAGATCCCACATTTGTATCTTGTTTTGTGTGCATTAAAATCATATTAAATGGCATTTCAGGATAGGTTGACAAACAAGGATTCAAAAACAACACTTCGTTAAAAAAAAAACCCAACATGCTTCTTTGACAAATTATATAATGTAAAGTGTATTTTATCATTTGTTTATATGACATAAACAAAATATGGACCTAATATATTCTTAATTGTGATTACTTACTTTTAGTCCATCTCTAGCAGAATCCTTTCCTGCAGATAAATGCCCTCTTGATCTATTCTTTGTGGAGGGTTTACTGATTCATCATCAGTCCATCTGGATAGAACAAAAAATAAAAACATATACTATATCAACCCAATTTGCTATGAACAAGGACTGTAAAAATTCTAACTGGCTCAGAAAATACAGTCAAGTCTTATTTCTATGTTAAAAAGACATCAGTGTTATACATTTTTTTTTAAAATACTCACATTCTCTCTTTATCCACGGTTTTTGTTGCTGTTTTCTCCTTTCTCTTTGTTCTTGTCATGAGTCATGACCCAGGTGGTTTAAAATTGGCGCAAACTTCTAAACCGGATGTGAACTGATAAGCCGTTCTTAGATAGGTCTGTAACGTTTCAGACAAGTCGTTCCTAAATCTTTATGGCACACTTTTGGCGCACAATGATTTTGATAGTTATAAAAGAAACATTTCTGGTACACTTCTGGCACACTATATAAATAAAAGGCATCTAAGGGAAAATTGTGGCATACTTCTGGCACATATGTGCATCAGATCATTTAATGTGCCGCTAGAAGTACATATGTGCCCCTAGCAGCACACAATGAACCGCAAGTGGCATACTGTGTGCTGCTAGCTGCATTTACTGCACACTTCTGGCATACTGTTCTGGTACATAGATTTGTTTGCCGCAAACTTGCTGCAAGCTTGCCGCAAACTTGCAGCAAACATTTCATTTTGGTAAGGGTAAGTCTCAAGCTGTTAATGATTGGTATCTCTGTTCTTTTTTTCTTTTTTGGGGGGGAGGTATATCAGTGTAATCTACAGCATCTGAAATCATCAAAAACAACAGTAACTTGATAAAATTTTAGTTTGGTGAATTATGAACCTTTTCTCTTTTGAATATTGATCTGATATTATTTGTTTAAATGCTTCTCAGAAATGCTTTCTAACGACTTTGAGGAAAAATCTTAACTTGCTGAAAATTGAGAAAATCTTTTTAGTTCATCACTCACTTGATGTGAGAATTTCTTGCTGAACATCTGTTCACCTGCTGAGAGTCTAATTTTTTTGCCTACAATTAAAAAAAAGTATTACAGGTATGTTACATAGAAGTACAAATGCTGCATTACATGTTACAGTGTATTATACTTTCATGTTAAATACTAAAATCTGATTAGTTTAGATGCATCTAACAATCCTTTTTGTTATACCTTTAAGAATTTGTTCCTATACAAATCTAGATGAAAAAAAAGTCCAACATTTCAAATGTTTTGCTGAGCAGGCATAAAACAATTGATGTTTAACCACTGATGAGATGTTGGACCGGTTGATGAGATGTTGGACCGCTTACATGTACATCACACAATTGGTGGAGCTTAATCTAATTTGCGTTTTTTGATGTTTAGCAGTGACGAACGTGAAGTTCAAGACAGTACAAGATACATGTACATCAAAATAAATATTAAAATGAAAGGTATCACAAAACATTTGTTGACTGTGTTCTCGAGCAAATACATTTTGTCGATCCTCAGGCAGACAGTTTGGTTCTTGGGTCTGAGAAAAAACACATGTTGCCCTTGAACTCAGTCAATAATATTTGAAATTGACACCCTTGTGTCATTTGACAATGGTTTTCTGGGGTGTCAATTTCTACTGAAGATCTCAAAAACATGCACTATTTATATAATAGTTATATACAGCTGTGTTCATATTTCTTATAATTATGTACCTCAATAGTCCATCTGCAAGCAGATTTTGTTCAATCATCCTGCCTAAGTCTGGCCTTCAGTCTTTTTTCAACTACAGGTAGTGTACTCCTGGGTAAATTAAGTACTGTAAGGTTGTTTCCTCCTAAGAATTAAACATGAACAGATCTTAGAATATTGTTTTTAAATGAACAAAAATTAATTTTAAGATTTAACAATCAATCTTATCATATCTGTATTTCATTTATTGATTTATAAAAAAAAATGAATGAAGTTTTTTAATAAATATATTTTATTTTATACACCACATTGTATAACAGTGTATAATGTTTTAAAATTTGCACTATAAAAAAACAACATTTTAAACCAAAAATACAGAAAAATACAATAATATAAATAATTTCTGAACCATTGTGTTTCATTTTGCTCCATAAATTAGACAACTGTTTGTTTCAATGTTATTGATATTTCCACATGCAATATCCCTATTTTTTCACTTTGATTTGTACCCCATTTGAACAACTTACTTTTCTAGCAACTTGATGATTGTTGTGTCTTTAACAAATAAGGCTAGTTAGTATTATATAATTTGTTGTAATCATATACAAAAAATGCTATTTTTGTGAATAAATAGTATTCATAAAACTGACGAACAAACGGAAATGTCGATATATTTCAATCCTCAAATGTTGAACTGTCGATCGCGGGAACAAGCATACGAAATACATCGATCTATAATATCCATGCGAATTCCCATTTATCAATAAAAACTATGTAATTCAATTTCAAATTATAAATTAAATTGCCAGACATACATAACTTACTTACATGTACAATCCTACTGCACAGTGACACGACATGACATCAGGCGATCGAGGCAACGTGGGTCTGCAATCTCGCATGTTTGTGACCTTCAAGTTTCTTTTGGTTAATCGGGTATCCCGGGCATAAAGAAATGGGTGACTTAAAATTGGTTTAATCATCCCTGGGCTTCTACAATGCTTCAATAATGATCACAGCTTGTAGATTTTACAAAACAATCCTGTCGGGGTTTTCTACGGGAAACGACCTGGACATGTTGACATTCGCCTACGGAACTGCGCATTTTATGGCAATTGTCGCAAATCAAAGAAAAAAAAATTACGAACAACTTATATTTTTAATAGAAATAGACTCAACAATACATAAACTGATAAATAAAACAATAATTTTTCATTTAGATTGATTAAATATGTAATTTGCATTTTACGACTTACAAAATCTATGGAGACCCATTGACGACGAAAAATGCTGACAAGAATCCATCCTTAACATCAGAGTCTCTCGCCTAGTTCAGTAAGAACACTAGTCTCTGTGACATCAGAGACTAAGACTCTTTCGGTGTATTCAATATTTACACCAGTCTCTGTGACATCAGGGACTCTATCAGTTAGTTCAGTAATAACGCCAGTCTCTGTGGCATCATGGACTCTTTTGGTTAGTTTAGTAACCATACCAGTCTCTGTGGAATCATGGACTCTTTTGAATAGTTCAGTAATTACACCAGTTTCTGAGACATCAGAGACTATCTTTGTTTGTTCAGTATTTACCTTAGATTCTATAACCTTATAGACTCCATCAGTGCATTCAGTATATTTACATCCCCTGAATATTTTCTCCTTTATTTTCAATCAAAACCCTTTGCGTTAATCAGTGCATGATCTACATTAGGCATGTCACCTGTATCGATTTCTTGATCAGTAGCTGTTCCATCAATGAAACGTACAAAGACATTCGCATCATTAACACACTATTTAACCTTTATAATTTTACTTTAAATGATTATTGAAACAGATATTAAGATAATTAAACAAAAAATGTCTTTCTTTGGTTGTTAGCACGGGAATGAATGTCAGAGCTATTGCAGAAAAAAATACAACCATTTTAGGCGTGTTATGTATTTTTTCTGCAACAGCTGCTACATTAATTCCTGAAATAACAACCAAAGAAAGCATCTTATTGTTTAAGAAATAAAAGTCAGAAAGTACCACATATTGCCTATGAATTTCTTAAAAATTAAATCATCGTTTTCATTAAAACTATTCATGGTTTCCCTATCTACTCGGCCTGGTCAATGGTGGGATTGGTAGTTTTAGTCGAACCGGATATTGGTTTTTTCATGCAACAGCTAAAACCTATAAAAGTTTTGAGTTTTCCGGATTTTCAAGTGGGGCACATTCCTCTCGGAAAAAAAAATTAAGAATAAAATCAAACATTGGTATCTTACGCGTATTTTTGAACAAGTCTTTTTCTCCAAGAGGAATGCGCCCCATGCTTAAAATTCACATTTATGAATGTCGTTTGGTCAGCTGGCGCATGCAGAAAGCAAAGTTTCCTTATATAATTTCATGTTATTAAAACATCACATTGCAAAGATTTAATCTATCAAAGGAAAAGCTACTTTAAATTATATGAACACAACCATAAATCCCTTTTTGCATAAATACATTATTTATACGTGGTAAATATGGTAGCCTGGGCTAAACAGATTTTTAATAGCCTAGTAGTTCAATATTAAAACATTTTTTTTTTAAATTGGAGAAATGTATTCGAATTAGTCTAAGTATAACTATGCCTTCCATATTTGCATCTGTTCTGGATCATTCTTTAACAGAAGCCTTCTACAGTAGCCAGGTTATAACCATAATATGTCTATTAAATTTTTTTTTCAACATTTGACAAGTCGTCAAATTTTTCTCTTGACGTCACAATGTGCAGAAAATGACGTCAAAGTCGCTTATATAGACTTGCAATATTTTTCGTACACGTGATGATTGTAGATTAAATATTTCTAAATGCGTTCAAAAAATATCAATTTTGAAAAAAATGTAACATAGGCTTACTCATTGTTCTGTGTGTTACATAATCATTATCATGCATTGTTGAATAGAGCGATTAATGTTGATATCTACAATTACATAGCTTAATACCAGGTCAGATGTATAGACCTTTACTGAATACTTTGATGTGTATATAATTTGCCCATAAATTGATATTTTTCATTTTGTCTAAATTTTAAAATGTAGTCAACATGAGAGAGAGAGAGAGAGAGAGAGAGAGAGAGAGAGCACCAATTACAATACTGTAGACGTACATGTAGTTATTTTCACAGGGTCATCAGTTTGATCCGCGGGTAAAAAATTACGCGGATTGATTCTTTAAATGATTCAATTCAAATGATTCATTTAAATATATATTGTACCCTACACTGAATATATGAGAAAAAAGTACTTTTTCGCTCAAATTTATCTGTCTCATGAATACGCAATTTTTTCAAAGAACAGAATTTAAATGACTTGAAACAACATACATGTACGTGTTCGGTACGTTAACGCCAGCTCACAAAATTACAAATTATCATGAAATAATTCTTCAGGAGTATGTAAAATTAAGCTTTTCAAAAAAATATTCTGATAAAAAAATTAGTAGAGCTAAATGTCCCAATATATTCATCAAATCGTGTTTTTCAAATATGCCAGCCCAAGCCTGTGGCCTCGTTTTGCATATGTTTGCTTTAGGGTTGGGTTTGTCTTTAACTGACAAACAAAAGAAGCATCCGGTTAAAAAAGCAACGTATGAAGACGTTTAGGAATACTGTAAAATAAGAGATTTAGACAACCTTAACATAAATAAAAAAATTATCAATTTATGATGGGAATAATCTTAGAAAAAGGGAGGGATTTTCTGTGTCCTTCTCTGCTTTGATTCTGTGATTTATAGATTAATAATTATGACATATGTTATGATATAAAAGAGGTAAAAATGTACGACCGACATCACTTATCTTGAATTTTAATGTGTATAAAAGCACAAAAAAAATTATTCAAAATCTTTTTCAGATTAACTATCATCGTATCCACTGTGTTATCGCAAATCTTGCTTGAAAGTATACACTTCGAATCGACAAAGTGATGCGTTGAGTGACTAAACAGTTATAATTCTGACTTCTGTGACTGCCATACAATTGCAAAAGAATATGATTAGTGCATTTTTAAAGGTCCGCCCATCCTCGAATATATATCCATAATAGTTAATATTTCTACGAAAGATAATAACGTGGCATATAAAATTAATAAATGATAGTGGTTGTTGGAAAACAGTGAAATGGTCTTAAAAATGAAATCTGTGTCAGGACTGGCAAAAGTTGATTTGATACATGTACCCCGGTTGGGAGGTAGGGATATATTTCTGCGATTGAATATCATGACTGCCACCCCCTACCCTGTTTTTCTTCGCCAGTACTTCAATAACATTAAACGTGTTTAGATTCGGTGAATATTGTTTGCCTTTTATTTTTAAAATGCGAGTGTGTATGATATTTCATATTGAATGTATGAATTATATTCTCAATTACAGTACAAATTGCACTGGCCCCCTTTCCCTAAAAACTAGAGCTACATGTATTGTGAGCACTGATCTCACTAAATGAGCTGGCTAAATTAGTGAGGGCAAGCCACATATCCCCCTTTTGTGTCAAAAATATACTTAAGATTTAATAACTTTACAAAAAAAAAAATGAGAAAGGCAGCTAAGCCTTCAATCGTCCCCATTCTTGTTCCGAGGCCTATGTCTTTAATAACAATTATTTAATTGTCTCTTTTTTGATTTATTAATTCCGATGTAATTCAAATTGAAATTGAATTTGCATCTTGATTGGAAATTATATGAGTTCATTGAGTTTATGTGGCTATTCCCCCTAAAATCATTTTAACTACTTAATTGAATGCAATAATTTTAATATTAAATCGCTGCATTGCAAAGCGTTACATTGCTAGACTTAATGTTATTAATGAGGCGTTTTCCCTTGATTTTAGGATGGTGCAAACAAAATTAAAAAAAAAAAAAAACAAGAGGGGGTGGGGGGGGGGGTGGAGTGCGCACGCCCGAGGCGCTGGTCGTGGATCTGCGATGATTAAGCGCCGTTCTTGCATTAGCAGTTTGCTAATGCTGCTCTCGGAAGTATTCGTTCAACGAAGAATGCGTTTTGCTCGAAAATAAGTGTTGAAAGTGATTGAAAATTTTGAAAAGCAGAAAGATGGCAGGGAAAAAAGCAATTTCATAACCCTGTCTATAGTGACTGTCAATAGACGCACTGTATAGATTATTTAATATAAATCCATTTATTATTTCTTTTAAAACTTTGATGATTGTAAAACATTTTGCTAAAACATAAGAATGATTACTATTTTCTAAAATATGACGATGATTACTTAGGGAAAAAGAATAACTTCACAAGTCCATGCGTAAAATATCCCGCGATACCTCTTTAGAGCTCTAATTATCCCTTTTTGTCTCAATTGGTTTACATGTATATGGAAAACTTCTTGATTGGAGAATGTGATCAAAATCATACTAAGCTGTTTGTGTTTTTAATTATTTACTCTAAAAAGAATAATAATTCAATCGGCAGCTTATACACGAGTTAATGCAAACTGCTGTGCGAGTTCGTTTTCTCAAAACAATAATGGACTCATCTTTCTGGCAAAGTGAAAGTATACATGTACATGTAGATGCTTGTACATATACGAGAGCTGTTCAATAAATAATGTCCTCGGTGCTCAGAAAGTAGCAAACGACGCTTTTCAAAAGTTTAGTCTTTGTTATAGCCATTTTACTCATGTTTAAATTTTAGCGCCATTATGTCAGTGTATTACGTCACAAGTTTTTGAGTACACATAATTTTCTTGAGTACTGCACGAGCAGTGACATTCGCTGGAAGGTATCGTTCTCTGGTCTGTACTTTTGTTCAATGCATCTCTGGAATTGGGGAAAAACTACTTATTCGGTAAGCCAATTATTCAAACACCAGCACACCCATATGTATTTGTATGCATTTCTTGTATTTTATTTATGAATCAGTATTTTTTATGCTCTGATAATGGTCTACATAGTCGAAACATATTGGATAATCATTACTTCTTATGTAAAGCTACATTTACAGATTTATTATATTGAACACAATATTCTTAAACTATTTATAAGATTCATTGATAGGTCTGCTTATCTGTTGTTTAGGATAGGTGTTAAATGCATTAGGCTTAAACTGTGTATCGCAAGGGCGATAACTCTCATATCCATTTGTAAACACCAATTTCGAAAGTTAGATATTTTTATGTATACTTAGTAATATATTGAACGTTAACTTATAAAGTATTATTTTGGGGTTTGTGATATTGATAGCATATATTCTGGCATATATTTCTAGTCTGAATTGCCTTGGCACTGTCAATTTTCTAGTCCGAATTGTCTCTGTTTATTGGTATTGCATTGTGTTACAAGAATTTTTGTTTACAATTTTGTTTATTTACTTTACAGTAAATCGTATGTTGACGTATGATGACGTATGAGTATGATGAATGGTATGATGTCAGTCTTATGACTCATAATGGATTGTATGAGAACTATGACATATGATGAAACCTATGAACGAATGTTCCTATGAATGAAGTTGAATAAAGACATACGCATTTACAATTTCTCAATCTCTCTCTGGGCATTGAACAGTACATCATTTACGAATAAGTATCAACAGCCATGTGTGATGCAGAAGAAAGTGATACAGAAGAGCAGCCAGGACAGAGGCACAGAGATTCACAGCTCTGAAAGATTCTGTAGAGGATTGGATCTTGCGACACACAACACCTGACAATAAAATCCAAACCCAGTACAAGTACTTGAAATCAAAACAGAAATAGAAATAACGAATGCGAAAACTAAAATTATCGAAGAAATGGAAAGGAGTGTTATGAGGAATTTGGACTTAGAAGAATCTCTTAAAGATCATGCAAGTGACAAACCTGAAACAAAAGAAACTGCAACATTAAATCTGTGTGCACCACCATGGGAAGACAGAAGAAAATCTTTATACTCACATGAAACATCTTATATGTGTCAACCACAGAATGCACCTTATGTACATGTTCCTCAGTCTACGTTTTTACCTCAGAGTACACCTTACGTACATTTGCCTCAGTATACGCATGCATTTCAAAACACTTCACATGAATCGTTACCAAGAAACGTACCTCAAGACACGTACAATGCGTATATTCATACGCCACCTCAGACGCCAGCTCTTCACGTCAGTGATAACCTTGTGCCGCATATTGTGTCTTCTCAACCATGTTCTTCAGTGCCAATTCAGACACCGACCAATAGTGATCATGGAATCTTGACTGTTGCACGAGAACTGAACAAGCCAAGGTCGATTATACAAACCTTTGATGGAAATCCGATGGATTACAAGAGATTCCTGAGACAGTTCAACACAAGAATTTCTTCAAATACAGACTCCTTTGAAGAACGTTTGAATTACCTGTTGCAATATACTTCAGGTGAAGCACACAAGATTGTCTTAGGATATTCACATATGGATGCAGAACATGGATTCAAAGCAGCGCTAGACGAATTTAAAGACAGATATGGAGATGCTGATATATTAGCTCAATCGTATGTGAAAAAGGCATTAGAGTGGCCAGTTATAAAGACTGACGATGCAAAGGCCTTGGACGCTTATGGCATTTTCCTTAACGAGTGTCAGTTTGCAAACGTGGAAGCGGCTAGAGTTTTGGAATATTCTGAAAACTTAAAATTGTTAGTGAAAAGTTACCATACTACTTACATGAGAAATGGAGCAACGTGGTGTATGACGTTAAAGAAAAGCATCAGATCGTGAAATTCCAACATCTTGTCAACTTTGTTTATAAAGAAGCGAAGAAAGCTACAGATCCTATCTATGGAAGAGATATTTTGAGCAACACTAAAACAACAATCAAAGGTTTTCAAGATGGACAGCGTAGTCAACCCGGTAAATCAGTAAAGTTTTCCGGGACACACAAAAACTTTGCGATTACTATGAATTAATCATCAAAAAATGTTAAGTCAGGCGCATGTAGTGATGTGTATACAACACAGAGACAAAAGCCAGGAAGTGTTTTCTCGGATCCTTGTATATTTTGTAACGGAGGTCATTCACTGGATGTGTGTAGAAAGTATGTGAATGTATCCTTGAAAGATATTCATTTCTAAAGTCCAAGGGCTTGTGTTTTGCATGTCTAATACCTGGACATCTCAAGACTAATTGCAAGCAAAAATTGACTCGTAGTCATTGTCAAAAACTTCATCCTACTATTCTCCATGTAAATCCACAGAAGGAAGATGACAGCCGAAAGAATTCAAGTCATGGAGATGGCAGTGAAGCAACAGCTTTGTCGGTGGCTGCTCATAAGGGGGCTGGAGAAACTGTGAAGCAGGCATTACCCATTGTGCCTGTTAGACTAAAGTCCAAATACAGTGACAAATATGTGACAACATATGCCTTTCTAGATTCAGGAAGCAACGCTACGTTTTGTTTAGAGACTCCTGCGCATTCCTTAAACATTGAGGGAAAGAGAACAAAGTTGAATCTCGTTACCATGGGACAAGAAAAAGTCCAAGACGCTTACGTCATATCAGATTTGGAAGTGAGTGATATCACGGAGATAATACATTTGAACTGCCGCCTGTCTTTACGCAGTCTACATTACCAGTGTCCAGAAAGGACGTGATTTCTCCAGAAGACTTGAAAGAATGGCCACATTTACATGACATTGACTTGAATGTGATTGAGTGTGATGTAGGACTTTTGATTGGTGTCAATGCACCAAAGGCATTAGAACCGTGGGATGTTGTTCCTAGTGCAGAAAATGGTCCCTTTACAGTGAAAACCTTACTAGGCTGGGTCATCAATGGACCACTGGAAGTGACTCCAAACGACAACAGTAATTTGTGTATCCATCAATCGCATTGACGCAAGGAGGCTAGAAGAGCAGATTCGTAACCAGTTTAACTACGACAATTGATGACATACATGAGCCATCCAGAGATGACAGGAAGTTTCTAGATCTTGTATCAAAGTCTATTTGTTTTGAGGACGGACATTATCAAATTGGACTTCCATTTAAGTCTAATGATGTCAGATTACCAAATAACAAGAAACAAGCTGAACAACGGTTATCGTCTCTTGTAAAACGATTCAATCATGATGAAAACTTTCACAGTGAGTATTGTGAGTTTATGAACAAGATTATGTACGATGGATATGCTATCAAAGTTTCAACTGAAGATACAGAGCAAGTAGATGGCAAAGTTTGGTATCTGCCGCATCATGGAGTGTATCATCCAAAGAAGAAAAAGTTGAGAGTGGTGTTTGATTGTGCGGCTAGATTTCAAGGCACATCATTAAATGATCAACTTTTACCTGGACCAAACTTAACTAGTTCACTTGTGGGTACACTTCTGAGATTCAGACAAGAGGAGATTGCAGTGATGGGAGACATAGACAGTATGTTTTACCAAGTTCATGTACCAAAACAAGATGCAAGCTTCCTTAGGTTTCTGTGGTGGGAAGATGGAGACACAACTAAGAAGATCGTAGAGTATCAGATGGTAGTACACTTGTTTGGCGCATCATCATCGCCTAGTTGTGCTAATTACGCTCTTAGAAAAACTGCTAGAGACTCTGAAGAACTCTTTAATTCTGAGATCATCAACACCGTGTTTAAGAACTTTTATGTTGATGACTGTCTGAAGTCCGTCAAGAATGTTGATTATGCTATCGACTTAATTAAGGATATACAAAGACTTCTTACTCGGGGAGGATTTCACATTTCAAAGTGGATAAGCAACAACAGAGATGTCATGATGACAATTCCAATCTCAGAGCGAGCAAAAGAAGTCAAGGGCCTCGACTTAGATTATAATGCACTACCGATGGAAAGAGCCGTAGGAGTTCAGTGGTGTGTGGAATCAGATGTGTTCCGTTTCAACATAGAAGTTAATAAGAAACCCCTTACACGAAGAGGAATCTTATCCATGATAAGTAGTGTTTTTGATCCTTTGGGATTTCTTGCACCGTTCGTACTGAGAGCAAAGAAAATACTTAAGGAGTTAAGTATAATTCATCTTGGATGGGATGATACCACACCTTAGAAATTTTCTGACCAATGGAACAGCTGGTTTTGTGACCTACAGAAGTTATCAGAATTTAGGATAGACAGATGTGTTAAACCTACTAGATTTGGAACAGTGTGTCCTGCCCAATTGCACCATTTTTTGGACGCCAGTGAAGTTGGTTATGGGATTGTGTCTTATCTGCGATTAGAAAATGTGAACAATGATGTCCATTGTTCTTTCATAATGGGAAAGTCGCGTGTGGCTCCTTTGAAGCAAACAAGTATCCCAAGACTAGAACTGACAGCAGCAACAGTTGCCGTGCGTACCGACAAAATGCTGAAAGCAGAATTAGACATTCCTATAGATGAAACTGTTTTATGGAACAGACAGTATGGCTGTGTTACGCTACATTAGAAATAAAACATCAAGATTTCACACGTTTGCAGCTTACAGACTTGCTGTTATTCATGAAGGATCAACGCCACAGGAATGGAGATATGTTAATACCAAACTCAATCCTGCAGATTATGCTTCAAGAGGACTTTCAGCAAATGAAATAGTGCAGCAAGGACGCTGGATCCAAGCTCCAAAATTTCTATGGACTTCCGTTGATTGTTGGCCAGAAACACCTACAGAAAATTTGCGTGAAATACTAGATGATCCGGAAGTGAAAAAAGCATCAGTTAGAGCATTAGTAGCTGATATACACAAGGCAGAACCAAGTATTGACCTGATGGGTGTTGAGAAACTTATCAATCATCATTCTTCTTGGTATACGCTAAGGAAAACTGTGGCATGGATTTGGAGGATCCGCAGCAAACAACTTCATCGTATTCAACGAAATAAATTTATTGACAACCCATCATCTAATGAAAGGGTTGGATCCCCACCAGATGTCTTGGGACACATTTCGCTTCAGGACTTACAGAAAGCTGAAATCGCCATTTTGCGATATGTAAAGCGTGAAACATTCTGTGATGAACTGAGTACTCTTGCAGAAGGAAACTCACATGTGAAGCGAAACAGTTATATACGGAAACTCGGTCCAGTTTTGGATGAAGATGGACTTTTGCGGGTAGGAGGACGACTTCAGAGAGCCAATATGCCAATTGAATGTAAACATCCTATTATCTTACCCAAGAACCATCACATTTCGACTTTGATGACCTGGAGGCCTTAACACCGAACCACTTACTGTTAATGAAAACAAAACCCAACTTACCTCCTGGTGTTTTTGTGAAAGAACACAACTATTGTAGACGACGCTGGAAGCAGATTCAGTACATGGCAAACCTTTTCTGGAAACGCTGGACGCGCGAATATCTACCCTTACTTCAGGAGAGACAGAAATGGTGTGAAGAAAAAAGAAACTTCAAAGTGGGTGATATCGTTCTGGTTGTCGATTCTAATGCTCCGAGGAATTCATGGCCCATGGGTATCATTCAAGAAACTTTACCAGATGACAAGGGCTTTGTGCGTCAAGTGAGAGTTAAGACTTCAACGAACAGTTTGATCCGTCCTGTAGATAAATTGTGTCTTATTCTAGAAATGGATTAATTTCTGTAGAATTTGTATATTTTTTGGACTCTGTTAGCATTATTTTGGAATTTTGTACATTTATGCAGGTATCATGATTTGACAATATTTGTTCTACATAGAAAATTTTTGTCATAGATTTTTTTTTTTTTTTTTAAATCAAAATATTGTATGAAAATTGTTTTGAATTAAGCTTTTTGGAAGTAATTGTGTCACTATGCTCCACAATTAGGGGGCTGGGTTGTTATAGCCATTTTACTCATGTTTAAATTTTAGCGCCATTATGTCAGTGTATTACGTCACAAGTTTTTGAGTACACATAATTTTCTTGAGTACTGCACGAGCAGTGACATTCGCTGGAAGGTATCGTTCTCTGGTCTGTACTTTTGTTCAATGCATCTCTGGAATTGGGGAAAAACTACTTATTCGGTAAGCCAATTATTCAAACACCAGCACACCCATATGTATTTGTATGCATTTCTTGTATTTTATTTATGAATCAGTATTTTTTATGCTCTGATAATGGTCTACATAGTCGAAACATATTGGATAATCATTACTTCTTATGTAAAGCTACATTTACAGATTTATTATATTGAACACAATATTCTTAAACTATTTATAAGATTCATTGATAGGTCTGCTTATCTGTTGTTTAGGATAGGTGTTAAATGCATTAGGCTTAAACTGTGTATCGCAAGGGCGATAACTCTCATATCCATTTGTAAACACCAATTTCGAAAGTTAGATATTTTTATGTATACTTAGTAATATATTGAACGTTAACTTATAAAGTATTATTTTGGGGTTTGTGATATTGATAGCATATATTCTGGCATATATTTCTAGTCTGAATTGCCTTGGCACTGTCAATTTTCTAGTCCGAATTGTCTCTGTTTATTGGTATTGCATTGTGTTACAAGAATTTTTGTTTACAATTTTGTTTATTTACTTTACAGTAAATCGTATGTTGACGTATGATGACGTATGAGTATGATGAATGGTATGATGTCAGTCTTATGACTCATGATGGATTGTATGAGAACTATGACATATGATGAAACCTATGAACGAATGTTCCTATGAATGAAGTTGAATAAAGACATACGCATTTACAATTTCTCAATCTCTCTCTGGGCATTGAACAGTACAGTCTTCATGATTTTACTTATTAATCTCTTTACATTCAAACACATGTCTGTAACATTTTTTATCCAGTTTTGGATTGCACACGGCGGGTGTGACCGGTCGGCAGGGGATGCTCACTCCTCCATGGCACCTGATCCCACCTCTGATGTTTCAGAGGTCCGTGTTTGCTCTGCTCTTATTTTGTATATTGTTTAATGGACGTTGAGATTGAAAACTGTTCGTTATCTCCATATCCTTCTTTTAGAACTCATTTTTGGTATGACCCTTAGTATACTGGAAAATGGCAGATCCAATGATTTCCTGTACTTGTTTTTTCCTTCAAAAAGGTGTTTTTTACAAGTTTGGAAATAGAAACAAGTCAAAAGGTCAAATATCTGGAAAATATTGTTAATATGAAAAAACATTAACTTTCTGTTTATCCCGAAAACCCTTTTACTCTTCAGGGCATGCGGGTTTGGACGCTGTCATGAAGAAATTCAATGTAGTGGATTCTTGATTCTGGATCCTTCCTCTAATAAACCTTTCGATCTTTTTGCAAAAATATGCTTTCCAGACTCCTCCAGATATTAAAATATCTCCCCGAATACAAATTTGAACAAAAGTACCACTAATATTTAGGAAAATTGCATATAAATATGTCTGTGTTCTTGCATACCTTTGCTTTTGTCAGACCTTCGCCGTTTTTATCAAGTACATCTTATGGTTAATTTTAATTTGATGATTTTAAGCAATAGATTCATGTTCCAATATCTGTTTGATTATAAAACAAACGCAGATAGCTACAATAACTGATATTTTAAAATTATTGTAAAGACTTTCGTACACGCTGTCTTTTTCACTCATTTTTCAAAATATAGGGTGACCTTTGAGTACCAAGCTTTTTACTATCAAACGTTTCTTAAAAACAGTGTAAACTACTCCCGGTATGATGTCTACCAAATTTGCTATGTGTCTTAAAGTCAATCATACATCATCAAATATTATTTGTCGAAATTTGACAAACAATACATAAGTTGTTATAATTTTTGTTGGCAAGGAGGGTACCCATTATTGATGTCCATTATATAATTTTTTTATCATTGAAATCCGCCTGCTCATTTGTCTATAAAACAGGCATCCATTGATGTAAATGACACATATTTCAGTGAATATTTCTTTGGGATTTTTAACAATTTTACAGCAGCTTTAATGTAGCCTTTATTCTCACTCTAGTTTACTGATTTTTTACCATTCATTTATAATGCAGTGTCTCGAAAAACCCTTGTTTCCCAGCTTCTCACGATGAAACTATGTCAAAAAAGTGGTCACATAAACAGTTATAAATTCAGAAAAGATTCAATAATGAGAGAAGTCAAGTTTGATATCATATTATATCTGTATTGTTTGTCATATACAGTTCAGGACATTATTTGTTGAACAGCCCTGTTAAGTTAACCGTAACTGAAACAATGCTATCACTTTCATGTTTTATTCAGTTATACAGAATTGGCTTTACATAGGTTGACTTAAATATCAAATGCATAAAGTCTGTGTAAATAATTGTTAAAATTATTATTATAAAACATTATTAATGTCATTAATGAACGTTACAATGTATCTAATTATTTACATGTACCGCGATAAGCACAAGCTGAATAGACACGTTGTCATTTTCACTTGTACATGCAACTAAGCTTGTTGAAACCTGATGTTATAATTTAAAAGTTATCTTTTATTAACAAAATATCGAAGTTCTGTAATATATTATAATATACATTTTTTGTGAAATACTAATCAGTTAATTTAATATGAGAATTCAGAAGTGTTAAAATTCACAACATCATTATGACGTTCCGTAAAAGTACAAAATTCATCCATATACGTATGCTATTTTGAAGACCTCTTACAGAAAACATGAAAGAGATATTGAAAGTTGGTTTGAGATATGTCCAGAGGCAATATTGTCCTATTTTGAAATCAGGCCAATTTTTGTACTTTTGACTTAAGCTCTTTACACCACGCAGCACTATTAAGGCTTACTATGGAAAATCAACGGAATATGGACATGCAAAAGCGGGAACTTTATCTGGCTGTTACCACATTTTTTTTTTCAAAATGATGTCATATCGACAAGTTCCATTCAATCAGTAATTGCTTATAACGTGCTATGTGGGATTTAACAAGAAAGTTTTTTTAATGCATTGTGTATGGTGTTTATTAGGCAAATATAGTTTTAATATGCGAATCATTTTCTGGTATAATGTGGAATAACTTTTTATGTGATGTCACAATAAACATTTCCGTAAAAATTAGGCCCAACCCAACCCAATTTTATAGCCTTAACAATGCTGCACAGCCTTTGCAACATCAGGGACTCTATCAGTAAGTTCAGTAATTACACTAGTCTCTGTGACATCATGGACTCTCTCGGTTAGTTCAGTATTTACATCAGTCTGTGACATCAGAGACCATCTTTGTTAGTTCCGTAATTACACCATTCTCTGTGATATCATGGACTCTATGGGATAGTCAGTAATTACACTAGTCTCTGTGATAGCATGGACTCTCTGTTTGTTTCTGGAACCTCATAAACTCTCTCGCTTACTTCAGTTTTTACAATAGTTTCTATTTCCACATAGACTGTCTTGGTTAGTTCAGTATCTAAACTAGTTTCTGTAACCTTAGAGACTGTCCCGTTCAGTTCAGTATTTACATTAGGACTCTCATAGACTCTCTCGGTTTGTTTAGTATTTGCACTTGTTTCTGTAACTTCATAGACTCTCTGGGTTTGTTCAGTATAAAAACTAGTTTCTGTAACCTCATTGTCTCTCTGGGTTCGTTCAGTATTTACACTAGTTTCTGTATTTTCTTGGACTATCTTGATTACTTTAGTTCTTTCGCTAATCTCTTTGACATCAGGGACTCTCTCGATTAGTTCAGTAATGACACCAGTCTCTGTGACACCTCTCTCTGCAGGTTGAATATTTTGCTGGTCAACTACATTAAATATAGCTATAATTAATTTATTTGCAAGATTTCAAGAGGTTCGCAGCACTTTTCAAATATCTTAATGCTTCTTGATTTTATGTGTAAAATTTTGACAAGATACTTTGAGGGTATGCCCTTGTAATAAATCGATTTATTAGGGCCCTTCCATTACTTTTTCAATGAATCTGCATACAAGCACACGACAGTATCGCTTGTCTGGAGAATGCACGTACAGTTTATAAATAAAATACTAAAATAGACATTGCATCCAAGTTAACGACTTTTTGTTTTACGGCAAATAATATTTTATTTGAGAACAAAAGACATTTTTAATTGCACAAAATGTGACCTGATCAGCCTCTCACTGTGTACAAACTGCGTCATTTTTGCGAGACGACGTCACATTGACAAGTGCATTGCGATCAATGCATCGTTTATATACTGTTGTGTGGGATTTAACAAACGACAAATCTGCATGTAATAGTAAGTTTGTATGTAGTACACAACTATTCAGCTGTTTGAAATAGCAAATAATTTCATTTTGTGGTATTTTGAAGACCTTATATTATGTGTGACGTCATAGTAAACATTTCCCGTACAAATTAGGCCCCGCCTCCTTACTGTTACCTTAACTGTGCTGCGTTCCTAAGATTAAATTAATTCGCGCAGAAGTGTGAGTGACGTAAGAAATATTAAATACATGTTATATTATATTTCAGGTCAACCTTTTTCTGTATTAAGTATAAAATATATAAACAGTATCGAACCCAGCAGCAGTATTTGGGTTTTCATTTCTCCAATACCTAGACTAGGCTGTGACAATTATTTATCATGTATTAAGAATACATGTTATAAATAATCATGTTAGTATATCAATGTTTTTTTTTAAATTTCTTTCTATATATACACATTGAAAGTTGAAGCCATTTATGGTAAGAACCTCATTAGTTGTTAGAACTTCTTTTCAAACCATTTGTATGTTATTTATACAATGAAATACGTTCAAACCATACTTCGCATGCGACTTTTAATTATCAAAAAAATATAAAAAAAAAATTTAAAATAAAAAAATCAGAAAACAAAAAATCGTAAATTGCAAGATATCCTTGAGATATTGACGTCGTACTTATTCCCTTTGGAACCTCTTTGTATCTTCTTAATTTACTTCTTTTCCAGAATATATAGGCAAAAACAAGGAGCTGTAGAAGTAGTAGACAGAGGATAATTCCAATGATCACTCCTACATTGCTTGATTCTTCATCTGCAATACTAGTTCCTGTGGTCAATATTTTCAACGTGGCATTGGTTGTGGTATTAAACAAATCATCTGTTGTACTTGGGTGGAGAGTGATGGATTCTGTCCTATATTTAAAGCAAGTTTATATGTACATGTACTTATTATAGGCATGAGTAAGTGAGTGAAAAAAGTTATGCTTATATGTACTCCTGCATCGCTTGACTCTTCGAGCACCGGTATTTAAGTATTAAGAAAGTGAATTAATATAGTTTTTTTCAAATCAAGATTGAAGGACTAATGATTTGCAAATTTACAGGAATATTGTCCCCGGCAACGTGTTGTAAACATTACTATGACCATAAAAAAGTTCAACTTACGTGTTCGGACATGATGGGTCTGCATAAAAACATTTCTTTTCTGTGTTGATTTTACTGCAAGCTGAAACTAGGCAAAAATGAAATTCATATTAATGAATAAATAAGATTTGCATTCGCAAATCTCAAAAATAATAAAATACAAACAATTGTAGAAGCCATTTCCTCGGAAAGCCTCTTCTGGACAACCAGTTATAAACTCTTTACAACTGATTTGATCTAAAGTACCATTTCCAGTCGTAAACAAGCAATAACCTTATAAAAAACATAAATCATGGTAAATATTTGAGAATTTCAATCATAGTAGAGATTTCATTTTGGTATCATCCATGCTTCTATTTATGAACAACTTTAAAAGACTATGAAGAATATTGTTTTGGTTGTAATAAAATTAATTTGTATAAGATGAAATACTTTCACAATGTTTTATTTTTGAAATGTTTACATGCTTTTCCAACAACAGCTAGAACATATGTTCAGTTTTAAATCTCTCTCTCTCTTTCTCTCTCTCTCTCTCTCTTTCTCTTTTGAAATTCCATTACAGGCACATCAATGAGATGCAGAATAGAAGAAATCGATAAATTATTTTAACAGATACAAACGAAAACGATACGTGTTAATTCTGCTTTTTTATATTTCCTATAAAATAGTATTTCTGTTTACCTTTTTGATAAAACGCGACGGTTTTGTTGTAGCAGAATTCTACAAGAGTTGATCTGTCTTCGTTAGGGACACATGTATACTGATTACGTCCATACTGGTCCTCTCCACAGTTCAGTCTGGTAGCAGCTGAGATAAACTCAGTCTCATTGGTAGGACAGGAATCCATCACGTAACCAAACCCTCGGTAAGTCATTTCTGGAACTGAATCGATTCATTTGTTATATTATACTGAAAGGAAAAAGAAACGCATAATAAACTTTTGAATAAAATTAAAACTTTTATTTCCAATATGTTTTCGAGTATTGTTATCAAACAATTTAATCCACCTTTAAACAACAAGTAACCGAAATCTTGTGAGACTTTGACTTATAATTCCTGAGTTATTGAAACTGATATGTCGATACCCCCAAAAATTAAAACAAAAATTCTCATCATCTCCCTTGCGCATCAGTAACAGCCTTTCTTGAGCATTGAGTTCACCGGAACATTTATCTTCTCATAGTATTATCATTCAAGGCTTCTGACGGTAGTCTTTATGGTTGAGAGTAGCTGTGTTATTCCAAAGCCAACAAATCCCCCCGCCCAATGAATCTCACGAATTTTCGATTTGAGGATAAAATTTATAGAATCTAGATGATTTGGTACTCGTGAATGTTTGTAAGGAAGTCTCGACAAACACTGGCTACATTTTCTCAGCGTGAACATGCTAAAAAAAGTTACGTATACGGTGCGTACGTGCGCGTGTGAGAGTAAAATCGACGAAAAGTTGCCAAGCTTGCGTACCAAATTAGAGCAGAGAGTTTCTGTCAGTATTAGGGTGAAAATATGAGTATGATTGTCTGCTGTAAAAATATCGGTTTCAGTGATAATGACTTGACAGTAACCGAGGTTGCATGATAAAAAGCCCTCTCTTGATGTGACGTTGTTTCGCGCCAACGTCACCGTCATGGTTGGTTGGAAACATTTCAAGTTATTCTCTGACAACCGAAAAATCTTTTTTGATTGAGAAGTTAAAAACAAACTGCACAGCAACATGTTGTTGCCTTTTTATTCACTTATCGACTCAATTACTAGACCCCCATGTAACTTCCGTCAACAATACCATGATTGCAAGAAATTTTTACTGACTGCAAATACCGGAAAACGATGTCTATAACTCTAATGCATCTCTTGGCACTACAAAATGTGATCACAAAATGGTCATCATCAACATGCACGTGTATTTGGCTTTTTAACACTTCCCCTACGTGACGCCATACATTTCATGGTTGAGTAATTTTGACCAGCGATTTTTGTGCACAGTAATCAAAATACACATTTGACCAATTTTCATAATTTTCGGCCACATAGTTTAATATTTTTTGCTATTATGCTATTATGCGTTTCTTTTTCCTTCCAGTATATTATGCGCCCGGGTCGATAGATCCAAGGCGTATTTTGTTTTTGTCCTGTCTGTATGTCTGTTTATCTTACTGTCTGTTGTGCACTTTAACCTTCGCCATAACTTTTGAACCATGAAAGATAGAGACTTTATATTTAGTATGCATACTCCACTATCTAAGCTCTTTAAAACTACACCAAGGTCAATTACCTCGTGACCTTGTGATTATAACTTATATGATAAAAATAGCTCTTTTGAACTATGTTGCCGCAGGGCGCATAGTGTTTAACAAACACATCTTGTTTTAAATTTATTCTTAGATTCTTATAAAGGAAGAGACGTTATAACTTTATAACTGTTTATAGATAAGTGAATTTTTTGGGTATACAAGTAGTTTATGTATACACTCAAACTTGTCTTAGCGGCCATCGGAAATCAACGGCAACTTGCAGTCAGCGGCCACTTTCAGATCCCCCCAACGATTTTTCTTATATCTTCTAACTGGAATAAACGGCCACCTGTGTAACGCGGCCACTAAAATCTTCACCCACAATCTTATTTACACTGTAAGAAGCGGCCATTTCGTCAATTGCCGTGATTACCGTCTTCTTTGGAAGACGGTATTGTATAGTTGAAGTTTTTTAAAGTCTTCGGACTATGCACTTCCTCTCTTTTGTGATTAGTAGAAATTGCAAGATGAGAAAATTTTCAATTATTTCATTGGTTGAAATGCTGTTCAAGGCAAGGGAGATAACTTTCTGATGATCTAATTTTCGTACGACTTAATAATTTTGCAAGATTTCCAATCTTAAAAAAATGACAAAACGAACAGCAAAATCAGCAGTAATTAATTCTTAATAACATGGTATTTTTTACAGCAATAAATAAACAGGTCTCTTTAAATTCATTATAAATAAAATTTGATTTTGATAGCTTGCATGCCTTACAATTTGTTTTCATTCTTTTCCCCTTTCTTGTTTAAAGAAGGGAATGGAATCAGCCAAGGTTTGCCGAAAGCTCTCGGCCAGTCAAAGTTTACGGAGATGACCGAGCGACAACAGTGGTAGGGCTAATGCCAGTAAAAACTAATGTAGAAATACAAAATTCAAAAGAATTATACGGCCTGATAGGTGCAGATCGGTTTACTGTTTTAAGATTGTTGCTAAAGACGGGAAGCTTTTTTAAAAAGCTCTACTTGTTCTATCATATCTTTCAAACACATTCGCTAGGGTTATTATTTGCTCGTTGGACAACTTAAACCTATGAGAGCAATTCAACAAATAAGATACGCTGAATGTTGTTACATGTAGTATTAATGAAAATAATATGTTCTCCTGTTGGACTATTCAGTCAATTTGTTTACGACTGACAATTCAAAAATGAAGAGATTTAAATGACAATTAAATCATTTTCAAACAGCTTAAGAAATTCATTCTTAAAGCTAGATTTTGTACTTTACCAGGGTTCTCCATGAGCCGTTTTAGTGTGTTGCAAGCAACACAGTAAAATTTTCTCCAACACAGTAACAATTCAAATTTTATGCGTGCGACACAGTAAAAATTTTGCCGACACAGTAAGATCTGTGATAATTAGAAAATCTAAACACACAATTCCTCTCTAACTGAGACTTTAATTAAACAATTATATCCTCTTTCAATTATAAAAGTTAGAGCACTTAAACACTAGGACTTCACCTTGCATAATCAATTAATTATCTTTTAGACCCTCACCGGACTTTACGCATGATAGAACAAAGACAAATGATTTGTTTTCACACTTCCATGTAAGGGTTAATTGGTAGTTGCAATAAAATACAGTGTATAATTTTAAAAAAAAATATTTAAATATGTCTTTTCTATAGAGCCACGGCTCTAGAATTATTTTAGCACTGTTAAGTCAGACATAACATAAGTCATTCAATTGATGTAAATAAATTGCTTAAAATTTTGAACATGTTCTAGGAACTCTTAAAATATTTTACTGTTCTGAAGTTTCTTTTTTTTTTTTTGTAATGTGATAATTCGATCACGAAAACTGATAAATAATCACGGCAAATTTACTTTGAAAAATGTTAATTAGTACGACTGTATCGGGTCAGAATTTCCTCTGCTTTTCAGAATGTACGTGTTTTTACTTTTCTCAAAATGTACAACCATACCATTTGTGTAACTAATTAGCGATTTTTAAAAATAAGTGTGTGCATGTATTCTTTTGTAATTTTCATAAATAGTGATTTAGTTGCGAATTTGATCGCGAAAATTCCGCGAAATTTTAGTTCTTCGCGTTAACTCTGCAACACAGTAACATTTCAAATGATGGAGAACCCTGCTTTACGATATCCATTCATCATTACCTAGAATGTTTACTGTGATAGATGTGACCCTGAGACGTACTACTACCCCAAAAAAGCGTGTGACTTTCGTGCAGCGTTTCGTGCAAACCGTTCAGCGTTTCGTGTAAGCTCCAAAGCGTTTCGTGCAAACCGTGTAGCGAGCGGGCGAGAAGCGTGTTAGAAACGTGCGACTTTCGTGTAAGAACCGTGTGAGAAACGTGTGGCTTTGTGAAAGAATCATTAAGATTCATTCGGAAGTCATTTCATTTTAAATATGGCTATCGATGGGTCAGGATGTTAAATTGTATAAGTATTTTATTGTTGAATTATTTATGCTTGTGATATCTTAGGAGTAAAAAAAATGGAACAACAAAATGAAATTACACGGTAATTTATAATATATATTGAGTTGCGTCAAGCGAAAAGGAACCTTCGTGACATAAACGTAATTACGTCATAATAGCGCTTCAAAGACGTGACGTCGCGCCGGTGCGTTTTGTCGATAAAAAAAATTCATACGATAAAGCAAAATAAAAATTTGTTTGCGTTATACTAATGTTAAAAAAAGACACGCCTATAACTGTCCGCAAAAAAATTGTTTAATGTCGTAGATTTATAGATTTACGGGTAATATTTCTAAAATAGATTATTAATTAATGTAATTTTTGATAGTTCATGAATGGCCTTATTCATGAGAAGTGAAAAATGTCTATGAACAAATCCATGTACAGTGTACGTGTTTTCCTTAGTAATCTGTGAAGACAATCGCTTCTTTGGCCTTTCCGGCTGAGCTCCAGACTCTACAGATAAGTTGTCTCCTGCATTTATTTCAATGTGTGTTTTTATTTTATTTGGTGTGG